GAAAGGCTAAGCACCAGCCCAAACGCAAGCCAGAGCGCGCCCAGAGGCCGCAAGCTAGCGTGGCCAGAGAGAAGGGGCATCCACATGTTCGTGGCCTCTTAAGAATTCTCTCCGAGTCATCTTCGACCTCCCCTGACCATGCCCTCACGGGCGTGGCCAGGCACACCTATAGGGGCTACTAGGAGGTGGGGCTACAGTGTCTCCCTACAAACATGGAAAGACAAACAAAAATGAAGGACATATGTGTTACATACACTTCATTGTGTGCAAAGGAAAAATACAAGTAACCAGTATCTTGTAAAGAACACAACCACTGTGATTTAATCAATAGAAAACTAGATCACACTAAGTATAACATGTGATGTTGTGTTAAAGGAGCAAGTTATAAAAGGTTTGCAAATGATGGATATATAGAATTTTGATGCAAAAACTACTATATCATAAATGCATAAATGAGACAGAAATGTAAAACACAGATGGGAAGGAAAAATACCAACTTTGGGGGGTTTTTCAAGACAGGGGCTTCTCTGCATAGCCTTTGCTGTCCTGGAACTCATTCTGTAGACCAGGCTGACCTTGACCTCAGAGATCCACCTGCCTCTGCCTCTGAGTGCTAGAACTAAAGGTGTGTGGCACCACCACCCAGCATGAGATGAACCACTTTTAAGACAGATGGATTGTAGTGATCAGAGTGGTGCACTCGTACAAGGAAGGGGAGGAGTTTATCTTGTCTACAATTTTTGATTATTAACAATATGAAAGACAGCTGGGAAGATACGGTGGTGAGGATGAAGTTCTGTGGATAAAGCACCTGCTGTGCATGTGTGAGGAGTGGAGTCTCCATCCCCAGCACTCCTACAAAACTGGGTGTTGCAATCCCAGCATTCCTACAGTGAGATAGGAGGTAAAGACAGGAAAATCCCCTTAAGCTCATGAGGCTGGCAACCTGGAAGACACAGTGGCTAACAACAAAGAAACCCTGTTCCAAATAAAGTAGAAGATGAGGACCAACACTGGAGGTTTTCCTGTGACTCTCTCTCTCTCTCTCTCTCTCTCTCTCTCTTTCTCTTTCTCTCTCTTCTCTCTCCCACACACACACACACACACACACACACACACACACACACACCGTCTTAATAATATTATCTCTCTGCTCACTGTGTGCACACACTTGTGGCAGGGGTTAGCTTTGTCTACCTTCCTACTTGGGGGAAAGGGGAGGAAGGGAGGGAAGAGGAAAATCCTAATAGTAGCATCTCATAGGCATTGTAATACCCTCCAGTGATAGAGGAAGTACTTCTGTGTATGTTTATCTTATTGATTGTTAAATAAAGTTCTGTTTGGCCAATGAAACAGCAAGTTAGACAGGACTAGGAGTCAAAGAGGATTCTGGGAAATGTAGTAGAGAAGTGGTGATTCAGGCCAGAAGTGACATAGCCAGGAGACTCATATTTAGCCAGGAGAAACAGGAAGTGCCCCCCCCTTTTCCCCTCTACTCCTCCAGCACCGCCATGTGAGCCACTGGCAAGAGACGGTGCCAGTGAAAGGCATCCTCTATAAAATAAGTCTTATAAAATATATAGATTTATGATAATTGAGACTGAGCTAACAGATGAGGAATCTTAGTCATTGGCCAAGCAGCATTATACCTAATACAAGTCTCTCTGGGCAGTCATTAATTGGGGCCCAAACTCAGGCATAGAGCACACACGTGGTGGTGGGGCTCGGCGACTTTTGGCAAAAAAATTTATTGTAACACTCCAGTACTGATGGAATGTCTAATAACGAGCCTGTGGTGCAGCAGGTTCCTCTAAAGCTCACAGGGCTGTGCTGTATTTCATGCTTTCTTTCACATTTGCTTGCCTAACGTGCATTTTATGGTCCTGGATTCACCCAGGACTTCATGTACTTGTCATATCTCATGCTTCATTTTAGATCTCCGTGGCCATAGAATTGCTCAAATTTTCCTCGGTTTTTGATGACCTTGAAAGTTGTTGAGGTGTGCCACTCAGGAATGCTGTAAATGCCCCTGCGCTTAGATTTATTTGATGTTTTTGTCAGGATCACAGTGGGATTATCAACTCGGAAGTCAAAGAACACAAGTGTATACCATTCCCACTGTGGGTTTTATGCATTCTTTAATGTGTATGAGTGTCTTGCCTACATGTATGTGTATGCCCCATGTGTATATCTGGTGCACGTGGAGGCAAGAAGAAGGCATCAGACACACTGGGAAGGTAGTTACAAAAAGTTGCAAGTCACCATATGGGTGCTGGGAATGAAACCCACATCCTATGGAAGAGCAGCCAATGCTCTTAACTGCTGAACCATTTCTCTTACCCATTTTCATTATGTTATAAAATGTTTATATGTGATAACTACTGTTAGCACTTCC